CCCCCCCCCCCCCCACTCCTCTGTCCCAATTTTTCACAGTTGCTGTCTGGTCACCCTATCCCTGACAGATGTTTGTCTAACCTTAAAAACGTTCAGTGATGGTGATTCCTCAATCTCCCTAGGTAACCAATTCCAGTACTTAACTATTTTCATAGTTAGAAAGCTTTCCCAGTATCTAGTTTAAATATGTCTGCAGTTTAATTATTTTGTTGTATAATAAACCAAGGCCCACTATGTTCCTATCTCGAAGTGTGATGCCAATAAAAAACACAACAGCTAAAATATATCCTTAAAGGTCCACAGAGTAACTGCAGCAAGTTTCTACTTTACAGAAGGAAAAACACCTACTGCTACATGGTGGTACAATATCATCCTACAAATCTGACCTCTGTAATTTCTCAGTAAGACCTCTGACAATTACAGACCACCATGCAAGGACCAAACATCAGGGGTTATGTGTGTCTCAGAGGTGAAATTGCTTGTAATGTTCAACAAGGCAGCAATTCAGTACCTTTCCTTATGTAATTACTGCGGTGACTCTGGGGACAATAGAAAAGAAGCAACTGCAGAGTGGACAAAGTGTAGTCATATAATGCAGGTTAAATAGAATCATAGGACTGGAAGGAACCTCCAGAGATCATCTAGTCCAGTCCCCTGCACTCAAGGCAGGACAGCTGATTACATGTTTTGGCATGTGATAACATTGTTCCTATTCTGTATGGATAACAAAGGACAACTGCAGGGGCTGTCATTCTCACCCAGAACAACCTGTACAGATCAGTGGGCAAGTTAAGCACTGCTTCTGCAGCCCACCCCACTCAGACTGTTTTATGCAATGCAGAGCCAGACACTGCTGAAAACTGAACGAGCTCATTTCACTGAGGTATTGTATTTCCCCTTGAACTGCTCCTGGATCCTCATTGGCGCTGGGAGACACCAACGTGTCCCCGACTCAAATGCACCTTCACGGGGAACTTCATCTATATTGTAAAAAGCAACAGAGGGTCCTGTGGCACCTTTGAGACTAACAGAAGTACTGGGAGCATAAGCTTTCGTGGGTAAGAACCTCACTTCTTCAGATGCAAGATGTCTTTCTAGCCTAAAAAGTCTTGCATCTGAAGAAGTGAGGTTCTTACCCACGAAAGCTTATGCTCCCAGTACTTCTGTTAGGGTACATCTACACTACAGCGGGGA